CGCCTTCCTCCCCTATAGATTTATATACTTCCCATGTCATTCTACTTTGATCCATTCTCTCTAAATGACCAAACCACCTCAACAACCCCTCTTCTGCCCTCTGACTAATACTTTATTAACTCCACACCTTTTCCTAATTTCCACACTCCGAATTTCTGGGATAATATTTTCACCACACATTGCCCTTAGACAGGACATCTCCACTGCCTCCAGCCGTCTCCTCGCTGCTGCATTTACCACCCAAGCTTCACACCCATATACAAGTGTTGGTACTACTATACTTTCATACATTCCCTTCTTTGCCTCCATAGATAACGTTTTTTGACTCCACATATACCTCAATGCACCACTCACCTTTTTTCCCTCATCAATTCTATGATTAACCTCATCCTTCACAAATCCATCCGCCGACACGTCAACTCCCAAGTACAGTGGACCCCCGCATAACGGACGCCTTGCATAGCGGACAATCCGCATAGCGGACGCTTTGATCGCTAAAATTTTGCCCCGCATAGTGGACAAAAACCCCGCTCAGCGGCCTTCGTCCGAGACGCGTCCAATGTGCGGCCTGAGCCACGCTCACATGTTCCGCGGGTGGCATTGTTTACCAGCCAGCCTCCGCGGTAACATCCAAGCATACAATCGGAACATTTTGTATTATTACAGTGTTTTTGGTGATTTTTTTCTGGAAAATAAGTGACCATGGGCCCCAAGAAAGCTTCTAGTGCCAACCCTACAGCAATAAGGGTGAGAATTACTATGGAGATGAAGAAAAAGATCATTGATAAGTATGAAAGTGGAGTGCGTGTCTCCGAGCTGGCCAGGTTGTATAATAAACCCCAATCAACCATCGCTACTATTGGTGGTACAGCTGCTGCTGCTGCTGTATCAACCGTCAGCTGCTGCTGCACTGTCAGCTGCTGCTGCTGTACCACCGTCAGCTGCTCCTGCTGCTGTAGTACCATCTGCTGCTGCTGTAGCATCATCTGCTGCTGCTGTAGCATCGTCTGCTGCTGCTGCTGCTGTAGCATCGTCTGCTGCTGCTGTAACATCGTCAGTTGCTGCTGTAGCATCGTCTGCTGCTGCTGCTGCTGTAGCATCGTCTGCTGCTGCTGTAACATCGTCAGTTGCTGCTGTAGCATCGTCTGCTGCTGCTGTAGCATCGTCTGTTGCTGCTGTAGCATCGTCTGCTGCTGCTGCTGCTGTAGCATCGTCTGCTGCTGCTGTAACATCGTCAGCTGCTGCTGCTGCTGCTGTAGCACCGTTGTTGGTGTGGCTTATTGAGAATACCAAGAAACAATTAACCCCAGAGGATTTGCCACCCAGGATAGCCCAAAAAAGTCAGTGTCATCGAAGACTGTCTAACTTATTTCCATTGGGGTCCTTAATCTTGTCTCCCAGGATGCAACCCACACCAGTCGACTAACACCCAGGTGAACAGGGAAAATGCCTGGAACTAGTGCTCATATTGGTGAATTTAGAGCCAGCAAAGGTTGGTTTGAGAGATTTAAGAATCATAGTGACATACACAGTGTGATAAGGCCTGTTCTGGAAGAAAATACCAAACAGGACCTACAGTACTCAGGAGGAAAAGGCACTCCCAGGACACAGTGTCTCATCAGTCATTGCTGCATCTTCAATAAAGGTAAGTGTCATTTATTCTTCATTTAGTAGAGTAGTACATGCACAATATATATTGTGCATGTACTACTCTACTATTGTGCATGTATCCTTCTCTTTGTGTGTAGGAAAATGTATATTTCATGTGGTAAAAATTTTTTTTTCAAACTTTTGGGTGTCTTGCACGGATTAATTTGATTTCCATTATTTCTTATGGGGAAAATTCATTCGCATAGCGAACATTTCGCATAACAGCCAGCCCTCTTGCACGGATTAAGGTCGCTATGCGGGGGTCCACTGTATCTGAAAACATTTACTTCTTCCATACTCCTCCCCAATTTGATATCCAATTTTTCTTTATCTAAATCATTTGATACCCTCATCACCTTACTCTTTTCTATGTTCACTTTCAACTTTCTACCTTTACACACATTCCCAAACTCATCCACTAACCTTTGCAATTTTTCTTTAGAATCTCCCATAAGCACAGTATCATCAGCAAAAAGCAACTGTGTCAATTCCCATTTTGTATTTGATTCCCATAATTTAATCCCACTCCTCTCCCGAACACCCTAGCATTTACTTCTTTTACAACCCCATCTATAAATATATTAAACAACCATGGTGACATTACACATCCCTGTCTAAGACCTACTTTTACCGGGAAGTAGTCTCCCTCTCTTCTACACACCCTAACCTGAGCCTCACTATCCTCATAAAAACTTTACAGCATTTAGTAACTTACCACCTATTCCATATACTACTTGCAACATCTGCCACATTGCTCCCCTATCCACTCTATCATATGCCTTTTCTAAATCCATAAATGCAATAAAAACTTCCCTACCTTTATCTAAATACTGTTCACACATGTCTCAATGTAAGCACTTGATCTACACATCCCCTACCCACTCTGAAACCTCCTTGCTCATCCGCAATCCTACGTTCTGTCTTACCTCTAATTCTTTCAATTATAACCTTACCTTACACTTTTCCTGGTATACTTAGTAAACTTATTCCTCTATAATTTTTACAATCTCTTTTGTCCCCCTTCCTTTTACATAAAGGGACTATACATACTCTCTGCTAATCCCTAGGTACCTTCCCCTCTTTCATACATTTATTAAACAAAAGTACCAACCACTCCAACACTATATCACTCCCTGCTTTTAACATTTCTGTCATGATCCCATCAGTTCCAGCTGCTTTACCCCCTTTCATTTTACGTAATGCCTCACGTACCTCACCCACACTTACATTCTGCTCTTCTTCACTCCTAAAAGATGGTATACCTCTCTGGCCAGTGCATGAAATTACCGCTTCCCTTTCTTCGTCGACATTTAAAAGTTCCTCAAAATATTCTCGCCATCTACCCAAAACCTCCATCTCCCTATCTACTAACTCCCCTACTCTGTTTTTAACTGACAAATCCATTCGTTCTCAAGACTTTCTTAATTTGTTTAACTCACTCCAAAATTTTTTCTTATTTTCATTAAAATTTCTTGACAGTGCCTCTCCCACTCTATCATCTGCTCTCCTTTTGCACTCTCTCACCACTCTCTTCACCTTTCTTTTACTCTCCATATACTCTACTCTTTTTATAACACTTCTGCTTTGTAAAAACCTCTCATAAGCTAACTTTTTCTCGTTTATCACACCCTTTACTTCATCATTCCACCAATCACTCCTCATTCCTTCTGTGCCCACTCTCCTATAACCACAAACTTCTGCCCCACATTCTAATACTGCATTTTTAAAACTATTCCAACCCTCTTTAACCCCCCAACTACTCATACTTGCACTTGCCCACCTTTCTGCCAATAGTTGCTTATATCTCACCCAAACTTCCTCCTCCCTTAGTTTATACACTTTCACCTCCCTCTTGCTTGTTGTTGCCATTTTCCTCTTTTCCCATCTACCTCTTACTCTAACTGTATTTATAACTAAATAATGATCCGATATATCAGTTGCCCCTCTATAAACGTGTACATCCTGGAGCCTACCCATCAACCTTGTATCCACCAATACATAATCTAACAAACTATTTTCATTATGTGCTATATCATACCTTGTATACTCATTTATCCTCTTTTTCATAAAATATGTATTGCTTATTACCAAACCTCTTTCTACACATAGCTCAATTAAAGGCTCCCCATTTTCATTTACCCCTGGCACCCCAAATTTACCTACTACTACCTCCACAACATTTTTGTCCACTTTAGCATTGAGATCCCCAACCACCATTACTCTCATACTTGCTTCAAAACTCCCCACGCATTCACTCAACATTTCCCAAAATATCTCTCTCTCCTCTACGCTTCTCTCTTCTCCAGGTGCATATACTCTTACTATAACCCACTTTTCACATCCAACCTTTATTTTACTCCACATAATAGTTGAATTAATACATCTGTAGTCCCTCTTTTCCTGCCATAACTTATCCTTCAACATTATTGCTACTCCTTCTTTAGCTCTATTTGAAACCCCTGACCTAATTCTATTTATTCCTCTCCACTGAAACTCTCCCACCCCTTCAGCTTTGTTTCACTTAAAGCCAGAGCATCCAGCTTCTTCTCATTCATAACATCCACAATCATCTTTCTCTTATCATTTGCACAACATCCACGCACATTCAGACTTCCCACTTTGACAATTTTCTTCTTATTATGTCATATTATGTCATATTATTATTATTATTATTATTATTATGTCATATTAGATCAAGTGAGATAGATAAATAAGTCGTAGAGTTGATATTAGCGAAATCATTGAAGCACAGAATTTCACTGGAACGGATTAATTGCATTTCAATTAATTTAAATGAGGAATATTGACTCTGCAAACGAGCAAATCCAGTTGCGAGCAAGGTCATGGAACAGATTAAACTCGCAAGTAGAGGTTCCACTGTACAAGATATTCAAATCACTTGCAACACAGCTGGGACAAACTGGACCTATGGCATTTAACATTCCAATGACTCATTTCAAGCTCACCCTAAAGCCAGATCAATATTTACTACCTAATCAACCAGGCTGTTGCTGTTAGTGAGCTTAAATAGCAATCACAACCTGACGGACCTGACACCCAGTGTAGATACTGGTCCAGTGTTCCAACTAGAAAAATCAATAAAGTATTTTTGCAAATTTTGATTCAATAAAGATACACTTAAGTACTGGTTTGGCAATAGAGACAAGATAAATAAAATGTACCACCACATAGAGCTACAGAAGCAATTAATTGTGAATATTTCCAATATGTACAGTTTCAATAGATACACAAATAAAAAAAAATTCAGGTGTAAATTGGACCTGCATGAACAGGGCCTTATTTTACCTCATGTATAGAATAGATCAAACATTATCATAAAATACGCTTACCTTTGCTCCAGATGCTGATAAAGGTATTCACGAGGAGCAAAAGTATATTCCCAAACCTGAATTTGACTGCAGTAATTTATAGCAAAGCAGAGTTCAGTTAGAGCCATGTGAAGCTTATCCATTCTGGAAAAAAGATATAAAAAGGATTAGCAATGTAAAATGCAAATTCCTTTTTGTGATGTTTAGAGTGATAGCCATTTACCCTGAACAGTATATGAACGTATGAAATGTGCTGTACTTATGTACTATTTAAGTTGTGGGGGAGATGGGTTCAAGCTCTTGGTCTGAACAACTAATTTTAGTGCCAGGAATGTCTACATTGTTTATTTTGGACTATTTTTTAAATGAAATTTTTAAATTTTCTGCAAAATTGATCAAATTACCAACTTCTGTGCACTTTATAGTAGTTGAAATAGTTAAATAGGTAGATGGGCAGTTTCTTGTGCTCAGTTGTTAGACTAAAAGGCATACTAGCAAAATAGCTAAAAATTTGGTCAAATGAAGCAATTGGCTTAAAAAAAGGACTCAAATTGGGCACAATTGCCAATGCATAAATTATGCAGAGACTGCTAACTATGCGCCTGCGTAATTCTGCAAGCTTTCCATTAAATTCTGAACTTACGGTGTCATTACCTTCAAAAACATTCTCCACCATCTTAAGAAAATATTTTTTTTTAAAAGTAGACACCAAGAGCAACATAATTTTGAGGGTCTGGATAGTGAAAGGGTTAATATACATTACTGTATCTTTAATCTTTATTCATAACACCTTTTAATAAAAATATTCAGCAATTTTCTTACTAATAAAGTCCATTTTATCTAGCTTGGCTTTATTATTTTACCCCTGCAGAATAATCCTCTCCTACTCATTAGTTATTAATGGAAATATAACAACCGTAACTGAAGATCAAACTTACGTGGTCAGCTCCTCCCGCGTTTTCCTGTGGCTTTCATATCCTGGTCTTCCTTCTGTTGTATCTTCTTTTTTCTTTTTCTTCTCTTTCTTTTTATGGATTAGAAGTGGAACTGTATGCTTTGGAAGAAGCTGCAATTGTAAACAAGATATATCATACATAAGACACACTATGAGAGTTACTACTCTTTCTATCTCTCACTATGTCTCTCTCTCTTTGGGTGGGTGGGTGGGTGCATAGGTGGATGGATGGATGGATGGATGGATGGATGGATGGATGGATGGATGGATGGATGGATGGATGGATGGATGGATGGATGGATGGATGGATGGATGGATGGATGGATGGATGGAATGGAATGGATGGAATGGATAGAATGGAATGGATGAAATGGATGGATGAAATGGATGGATGAAATGGATGGATGAAATGGATGGATGAAATAGATGAATGAAAATAGATGAATGAAAATAGATGGATGAAATGGATGGATGAAATGGATGGATGGATGGATGGAATGGAATGGAATGGGATGGAATGGGATGGAATGGGATGGGATGGGATGGGATGGATGGATCTTGAAGCCAAGAGAGTGGACCTAGTAGCAACCAGCAAGAGGAGCCAGGAGCTGTGACTCAACCCCTGCCACCACAAATAATAGGTGAGTACATGTGCATGCACACTCATACATATTAATTTATGAAGGATAATGATACATCCATTTAGTCAGCCACTGATCAAAATTAAGAATTCTACTTTTTTTTTTTTTTCAACAAGTCGGCCATCTCCCACCAAGGCAGGGTGACCCAAAAAAGAAAGAAAATCCCCAAAAAGAAAATGCTTTCATCATCATTCAACACTCTCACCACACTCACACATAATCACTGTTTTTGCAGAGGTGCTCAGAATACAACAGTTTAGAAGCATATACGTATAAAGATACACAACATATCCCTCCAAACTGCCAATATCCCAAACCCCTCCTTTAAAGTGCAGGCATTATACTTCCCATTTCCAGGACTCAAGTCCAACTATATGAAAATAACAGGTTTCCCTGAATCCCTTCACTAAATATTACCCTGCTCACACTCCAACAGATCGTCAGGTCCCAAGTACCATTCGTCTCCATTCACTCCTATCCAACACACTCACACACGCTTCCTGGAAGTCTACTTATTTGTACTATTCCTGCATCATTTGCCAGCCTCCTCCTCCACTATATCTGTCTTATACCCCTTGAACAAAGCTGATGACAAAGCTAGCAGAGGCTGGTGAGCAAGAACCTAGTTAAGAGAAGTTACACAGTACAGTACATATGGTATGGTATATTCATGCAAGGAAAAGACAGTCCACAGCTTTTCAAGGTCAAATTGACCATGAGAGGCACTGTTCCCACAGCCACTTATACAGTTACTAGTCAGTACATGACTCGGCTACATGTACATAATTTACAGTGCCCTACCACACTTAACTCTTCATTAATAATAAAAATATTTCTCCTGATTACATGGCACAGATCTCCTTTTTCTTTTGGGTGTGAACCATTATTCCCTCCTATTAAAAATCTTTACCAATCCACAACATTTTACAGGTAATGAACTTTAAACTCAGCACCAATAATTGTTGGTTAACTACAGCAAAATTATTCTACTTGCCATCTTTCTATTTTTGTTATTCTCTTGTACAGGAGTACAATTATACATAAATAAACTTATAAACTAAAACTTGCGATAACACAGTACCTTGTCAGAGAGAATGCACTGCTCATCACAGATGGTAGTAATAATATTTTTTGCTTCTTTAGCCATTTCTTCTAAAAACATGTTGACAACTGACAAGCTTCGCTCTCGTATATGGTAACGCTGCAGAAAATTGAAACATTAACAAATAAAGGGATAGCTAACATTTTGTATTTACTTTGACCAATTAAATGTCTTTATATTATAATGGCACTATATTGATAATATTATTAATCATAATGTATTATCACTTATGAATAAATTTAATTAGACTAGTGTGATAAAAATATAAACATGAACTACACACAAGAGTTCTTTAGGATGTCCATGTCCTACCTCGTGCTGAAAAGGGAGGAAGGAGATACGTATTATCTAAAAAGACTGGCCTAAAATACAAATTAAATCATTATCTATAAACTGATCTAAATAGAAACCTAGACCAATCAAGTGTGTGTTTGTGATCCTCCTCTCAAGAAACCAACCTACATACATTTACATGAAGAAGGGAAAGTACGTACAAATGAACTGATAGCTAAAATTAGTGCCCTTTCACTATGTGGAACAGAACAAAGGTAAATGCTTGAGTATTCTTAATTTGATTATCAGTACAATATAGTGTTAATAAACAGAAAAAACTTTGGCAATGTAATTACCTATTTGAGTTTGCAGGGGATGAGCTCCAGCTCTTGGTCCAACTTCTTGTAAACCAACTGATGTGATTAAGCCATGTCAAGTCTATTTCTGAACCCCTGTTTGGAGTCTCCTTCCATTATGTCTTTTCTCAGCTTATTCCACCTCTTACCACTCTAATGCTGAAGAAATATTCTATAATCCATTGACTGATAGCCCCCTCTCATTTGTATACCCTCGCTCCCTGGCCCTTTCTTGCTTGTCCTTCCCCTCTCTCCCTTCCCCTCTCCTGCTTGCCTACTCTTTGCTTACTTGCCTCTCCTCTCATCTGTTGCTGCAGCCTTCCCTCTCTTCACCTCTTGCTTGTTGTCCTCCAATGCCCTTTCTCATTTCTTCTCTTCATTTCCCTTTCTCTCCCGCCTTTCTAGCCTACCCTTCAATCATACAGCAGTGTGATGGTTCGCTCTGCTCTTTTTGTAAGTGCTATTATGTCTCAACTAAACAAAGGGAGTAGATCTCTGTGTGTGCTTGTGCATAAAGCCATAAACTCAGCTGGCAGTGCCACTTCAGGCATTACAGATGAGCAGCGTGCTTTGAGTAAACTATGGCCAGAAATGGTGTATCACTTTCAGTAACAAACTCTCATATTTATTTGAGAGCTGTGAATAGCCACAATCTATCGAAATTTATGAGAGACAAACCTGGAGACTGAGAGATTGTCGTAGATTTACTGTAATAAATTTGGAGGTAAAAGTGACTTAAAAAGTTGAGAAAGGCTAGGTATGAGAGTAGCAGAGATGGTAACTTACACTAGATAGCTGAGAGATGTAACAGTATGTACAATGAAAATACAGTACCGAAAGTTATTCAGATATTGTTAGTAAAAGAATAAGTTTGAAAACAGAAACCTAAAATTTTTATATGTATAATCTCAAAAGTAAAATCTTTACAAAATTACCAACTTGTATCTCTGACTCCTAGAACCAATGAAAGGCTCTGAGGCATAATTTATTGCACTTATACAAGAAAAGCCAAGTGTCTATGGTTCTTCCAACAAAATCAGTAGGCCCTTGAATGCTACTGCCACTTTACTGGACTAAGCTATAAATCTAGTTTTCACTACTTTTCAAAGTTTTTTTTTTTTCAATACGTTGGCCATCTCCCACCAAGGCAGAGTGACCCAAAAAAGAAAGAAACACTTTCACTATCATTCAACACTTTTGCCATCATTCACACAAAATCACTGTCTTTGCAGAGGTGCCCAGATATGATAGTTTAAATGTCACTCCAATGAAGAAATACCTAAATACTGTACAGCATGAACTTCGTCAGGTTTTACTAAAAATTCCTCGGACATCCCATTAGACAGTCTTGCATACAAGATTTTATTAAATCACAGCAATAGTCTTATATTTTTTCTTTAAAACTAATTGACTTCATAACCCCCCTATACATTTAGGAATGAGACATACACAACTCCTTAAGCCCAGTTCTTAATATTACATTCAAAGTTATTTACCATACAGATAAAAATAAGCAAGAAACAATGTAAGAGTGGACCTTCTAAATGCATTTGCTTCCAAAGTAAAACAATGGTTTTTGTACGCTATTACAACTCTTGCTGGAGTATTCTAACACACATTCTCTTTCCTGTAGCTTTCTGAGCAGTGGCATATGTGACCATGTTTGTTTCTCTACACCAGAGGTAACAAACGTCTTGTAAATACTGGATTCAGAGAGGGGCCGGAATGCCATTATTTATAATACACCAGCCATCTCCCACTAAGGTAGGGTGGCCTGAAAAAATACATCATCTCCACCAAAATACATCATCCCCACCCCTCCTCAGAGTGCAGGCACCATGCTTTCCATCTCCAGAACCGAAGTCCAGCTAACTGGTTTCCCTGAATCCCTTCACAAGTGTTGCCTTGCTTGCACTCCAACAGCTCAGCAAATCATAAAAACCACTTGTCTTCACTTACTCCTATCTAATGTGCTCACACACGCCTGCTAAATGTCCAAGCCCCTCACATACAAAACCTCCTTTATCCCCTCCCTTTAACCTTTCTTAGGGTGACCTCTACCCCCACCACCCTCCAAGTCATTGTATTTTGCTCCATCTTCTCTAAATGTCCAAACCACCTCAACAGTCCCTCCTCAGCCCTCTGGATAATACTTTTAGTAACCCTGCACCTCCTTCTAATCTCCAGATTACAAATTTTCTGCATAATATTTACATAACACACTGGCCTCACAGATGACATCTCCACTGCCTCTAGCTTCCTCCTCGCTGTAACATTCATGACCCATGCTACACTCATACATTCCTCTTTTTGCTTCCATAGATAATGTTCTTTGTCTTTATAGATGCCTCAATGCACCACCCACCTTTTTTCCTTCATCAATCTTTTGGATCACCTTGTCTTTCATAGACCCTTCTGCCGACAAGTCCACTCTCAAATATCTGAACACATTCACTTCCTCTATACTCCCTTCTTCCAATCTGATATCCAATCTTTTATTACATGTTTAAAACTGCCACTTATAAACATGTACATAATTTACTTCATGTCCATGTCCTTAGCACTATCTTATAAGCTGCTTGAATACCAAAGCTCAACAATTAAGTTTTAGATCCTGACACATTCTCACAATTGCCCTGTTTATACACAAGATTTAACATGTAACCTGCTTCAGAGTACAGATACAAATAATTTTATCTCATCTCGACATCCTTTTGTTAGGAATATACTACGTACTTGGAATCTGCAAAACTAAATGGCCATCTACAGTGACTTTTCTGAAAGAATATACTTTAGTATACTAAGTGAAGGTTTAATAATAAATAATAAAATAAAATTAGGCACTAAATTATGTATAAGGAAGAGTCAAATGTGAGAGGTGAATGGAACTACATTCTGAAAGGTATCTTGTCAAGGCCTTTAATTATTCCTATCTCTACACTATTGTAATAATGCATCACTCTTATAAGAACTTCCTTTGACTGAATTCACAATAACTGATTATCTGGTTCTAGGCGAGATGCTTTGAAGCCAAGACTATCACACATCTACTCTATCTTGCTGGTACCTTGGTCAAAGGAATCACAGCTCCAACTATTTCCCTGCACTGGGATCAAAGGCTAGTACAGTAGACCCCCAGTTTTCATAATTAATCCATTCCAGAAGGCTAGCCAAAATCCAAAATGGCTGAAAACCGAAGTAATATTTCCCATCAGAAATATTGCAAATCCAATTAATCTGTTTCAGACACCCAAAACTATTAACAAAAAATACATTTTATAGAGAATAACTATAGTTTTACATATAGAAAACAATGAGAAATAAATATAAATGAGAAATTTTAATGATAATTGAACATTACACACCTTTACTGAAGACTCTTGTTGGTGAGTAGTATTTATTTGCAGTCCCAGGCGGACTACATCCCAGGTGTATACCAACCGGCTACATACACTGTGGCCTACACCCATATTATTACCATCAACATACCATGTTCACTGAGTTTAATCGTTTCTAACAACTACCTTCAGATGCCATCATAAACAAAGGGAGAAGTAATGAATAAGTCATACCGTGAACTATAAACGAAAACTTATGTATTAAAGGTGGTTACTGGGCCAATGCAGATTCATACAGTTTTCTCTAATGCTGGACCAGAGAAAATGTAATGTTTACCCTCCACCATATATAAATATTGCATGTTTATATGCTATGTAATGTGTTTCTTACATAATTTTGAAGAAAATGTCATAGATGGGTTAATGAAAATGTCTATATTAACCTAAAATAAGACATTTAATGTGCCCAAGAGTGATAATTATTACGTACTATTAGTATTACTATGGCGTTAAGACTAGAGGGACACTGAGTGAACGAGTAACAAAGGCATGTTTAAATGCTATGTAACGTGTTTCTTACATAATTTTGAAGAAAATATCATAGATGAATTAATGAAAATGTCTTTTTTTTTTTTTTATTATTAACACATCGACCGATTCCCACCAAGGCAGGGTGGCCCGAAAAAGAAAAACTTTCATCATTCACTCCATCATTGTCTTGCCAGAGGGGTGCTTTACACTACAGTTATAAAACTGCAACATTAACACCCCTCCTTCAGAGTGTAGACACTGTACTTCCCATCTCCAGGACTCAAGTCTGGCCTGCTGGTTTCCCTGAATCCCTTTATGTTACTTTGCTCACACTCCAACAGCACATCAAGTATTAAAAACCACTTGTCTCCATTTACTCCTATCAAATACACTCATGCACGCTTGCTGGAAGTCCAAGCCCCTCGCACACAAAACCTCCTTTACCCCCTCCCTCCAACCCTTCTTAGGCCGACCCCTACCCCGCCTTCCCTCCACTACAGATTTATACACTCAAAGTCATTCTGTTTTGTTCCATTCTCTCTACATGTCTGAACCACCTCAACAACCCCTTCTCAGCCCTCTGGATAATAGTTTTGGTAATCCCACACCTCCTAATTTCCGAACTACGAATTCTCTGCATTATATTCACACCACACATTGCCCTCAGACATGACATCTCCACTGCCTCCAGCCTTCTCCTCATTGCAACATTCATCACCCATGCTTCACACCCATACAAGAGTGTTGGTACAACTATACTCTCATACATTCCCCTTTTTGCTTCCACGGACAAAGTTCTTTGTCTCCACAGACTCATAAGTGCACCACTCACCCTTTTCCCCTCATCAATTCTGTGATTCACCTCATCCTTCATAGACCCATCTGCTGACAAGTCCACTCCTAAATATCTGAATACATTCACTTCCTCCATACTCTCTCCCTCCAATCTGATATCCAGTTTTTCATCACCTAATCTTTTTGTTATCCTCATAACCTTACTCTTTCCTATATTCACTTTTAATTTTCTTCTTTAACATACCCTACCAAATTCATCCACCAACCTCTGCAATTTCTCTTCAGAATCTCCCAAAAGCACCATTTCATCAGCAAAGAGCAACTGTGACAACTCCCACTATGTGTCTGATATCTTCTAACTCCACACCTCTTGCCAAGACCCTAGCATTCACTTATCTTACAACCCCATCTATAAGTATATTGAACAACCACGGTGACATCACACATCCTTGTCTAAGGCCTACTTTTACTGGGAAATAATCTCCCTCTCTCCTACACACTCTAACCTGAGCCTCACTATCCTCGTAAAAACTCTTCACTGCTTTCAGTAACCTACCTCTTATACTATACACCTGCAACATCTGCCACATTGCCCCCCTATCCACCCTGTCATATGCCTTTTCTAAATCCATAAATGCCACAAAAACCTCTTTACCCTTATCTAAATACTGTTCACTTATATGTTTCACTGTAAACACTTGGTCTACACACCCCCCTACCTTTCCTTAAGCCTCCTTGCTCATCTGCTATCCTACTCTCTATCTTACTCTTAATTCTTTCAATAATAATTCTACCATACACTTTACCAGGCATACTCAACAGACTTTTTTTTTTCAACAAACCGGCCATATCCCACCGAGGCAGGGTGGCCCAAAAAGAAAACCAAAAGTTTCTCTTTTCAAATTTAGTAATTTATACAGAAGAAGGGGTTAGTAGCCCCTTGCTCCCGGCATTTTAGTCGCCTCTTACAACACGCATGGCTTATGGCGGAAGAATTCTGTTCCACTTCCCCATGGAGATAAGAGGAAATAAACAAGAACAAGAACAAGAACTAAAAGAAAATAGAAGAAAACCCAAAGGGGTGTGTATATATATGCCTTTCTCCTCCTACATTGACTCCTCAACACACAAGCCGACGGTCGATCTCCCCACAGTACCTCTTCTAGTCCACCCCTAATTCTCTCCCCATCAAACCTCTCATTTTGCAACATCCTAATACTTAGAAGTAGCAAGATGTACCTGAAATCTTGCATGTTTATGAGACAGAAAAAAGGACACCAGCAATCCTACCATCATGTAAAACAATAACAGGCTTTCGTTTTACACTCATCAGGCAGGACGGTAGTATCTCCCTGGGCGGTTGCTGTCTACCAACCTACTACCTAGGACTCAACAGACTTATTCTCCTATAATTTTTGCACTTTCTTTTATCCCCTTTGCCTTTATACAAAGGAACTATGCATGCTCTCTGCCAATCCCTAGGTACCTTACCCTCTTCCATACATTTATTAAATAATAGCACCAACCACTCCAAAACTATATCCCCTCCTGCTTTTAACATTTCTATCTTTATCCCATCAATCCCAGCTGCCTTACCCCCTTTCATTCTACTCACTGCCTCACGAACTTCGCCTACACTCACAACTGGCTCTTCCTCACTCCTACAAGATGTTATTCCTCCTTGCCCTATACACGAAATCACAGCTTCCCTATCTTCATCAACATTTAACAATTCCTCAAAATATTCCCTCCATCTTCCCGATACCTCTAACTCTTCATTTAATAACTCTCCTCTCCTATTTTTAACTGTCAAATCCATTTGTTCCCTAGGCTTCCTCAACTTATTAATTTCACTCCAAAACTTTTTCTTATTTTCAACAAAATTTGTTGATAACATCTCACCCACTCTCTCATTTACTCTCTTTTTACACTGCTTCACCACTCCCTTAACCTCTCTTTTTCTCTCCATATACTCTCCCCTCCTTGTATCACTTCTACTTTGTAAAAACCTCTCATATGCTAACTTTTTCCTCCCTTACATCATCATTCCACCAAATGCTCTTCTTCCCTCCCACACCCACTTTCCTATAACCACAAACTTCTGCTGAACACTAACACTACATTCTTAAACCTACCCCATACATCTTCGACCCCATTGCCTATACTAGCCCATCTATCCTCCAATAGTTGTTTATATCTTACCCTAGCTGCCTCCTCTTTTAGTTTATACACCTTCACCTCTCTCTTACTTGCTGCTTCTATTTTCCTTGTATCCCATCTACCTTTTACTCTCACTGTAGCTACAACTAGAAAGTGATCTGATATATCTGTGGCCCCGCTATAAACATGTACATCCTGAAGTCTACTCAACAGTCTTTTATCTACCAATATATAGTCCAACAAACTACTGTCATTATGCCCTACATCATATCTTGTATACTTATTTATCCTCTTTTTCTTAAAATATATATTACTTATAACTAAACCCCTTTCTATACAAAGTTCAATCAAAGGGCTCCCATAATCATTTACCCTTGGCACCCCAAACTTACCTACCATACCCTCTCTAAATGTTTTTTCTACTTTAGGTCCCCTACCACAATTACTCTCTCACTTGGTTCAAAGGTTCCTATACAATCACTTAACATCTCCCAAAATCTCTCTCTCCTCTACACTCCTCTCTTTTCCAGGTGCATACACGCTTATTGTGATCCACTTTTCACATCTGACCCTTATTTTAATCCACATAATCCTTGAATTTACAAATTTATATTGCCTCTTCTCTTTCCATAACTGGTCCATCAACATTATTGCTACCTCTTCCTTAGCTCTAACTCTCTCAGCTACTCCTGACTTAATCCCATTAACCTAATATAAGACATTTAATGTGCCCAAGAGTGAGTCACGAACGAATGAGCGGCCCAGGTGCACACGTCTAGTACCAACAATTTCTGAGGGGGATGTACAAAACCTGGGAAATTTTGCTGAAAAAAGTGCTCGAAATCCGAATTGTACAATTTCAGCACCGGCCAAAAACCGGGGGTCCACTGTATATCTAAAAAATCACTCTGATCATATATATTATTATCAATGCAAAATTAGCATATTTTCTTTCAGCATGTAGTAGCAATCATCATAAAGAAATGACTGGCCAGCCAAAGCCATCTGAAAGTACTGAAGAACAAAATTAAAAAATCCACTAACAAGTAAACATGTTGCTCCTAAGACCGGACAACAGTGTTAGTGTCAATTTAAATCCACAAGAGAAATGAATCAGTAAGGCTGGAACACTGATACTGCCATCATTGGAAGACAGAAAGGAAAGAAAAAATGAAGAGGTAAAACAACTACACACTGTATTTAGTTATGATACTGGTTAGACCCAAAAATATCAAAAGAATAATAAAAAAAGACCGCAGGAAGAACACACATTTTTTCTCCACTAGAGTCATTCACAAGTGGAATAAGCTGCAGGATACCATGGATGTGCAATAAATATTGCAAAGTGTAATAGTAATTACCATAACTTAAAAATAAAAAAGACATTACAAATACAGTAATATTCCTGTAACCACAAATAGGTAATTACACACATACATTATACAGAAATATACTGAACAAACCACAAAATAACATCCAGAAATATATGCCATACATGTATATAAAAGAAAGGTTAATTTTACCTCCTCTGGACAGATTTCATGTGTACATGCTTGCATGTGTGAACATATTAATGGGAAGCAGATGATATAGCGGTTCTGGCCAGGAAATTCTAAACACATGTGGAAGTTTTCTTCAAACTGTTTGCTGAAAAAGCTGAAAAACAAAATATTATATTGCACTTATAGAAAAATGCATTGCAATATCACAGGAAATTTTAATGACAATTTTATTTTCTCATGCATGATGTTTTAAATAGTATACAGAAGGTGTCATAAATATGCATGTGCACAGGTATGCCTTTAGCAGATTATATGCTGACAGTTTTGAGAAGTGCCAAGGTAACTATTGTATGCAAGGTGGTGCCCCTTGCCATACTGACGAAGCCATAAACAATTGGCTAAATGATTGTGAAATTTCAAATTTCAATCTTTAATGACTGGCCTATTGGTCAGTCATGTCATTAAAGACTGACATGACTGGCTGATAAAGGACATGTGGAACCTTATTAAATTCAAGCTTTGTGGCATGAATGTGTTCACTATCTGCAAACATTCAGGTACCAATAAGAAGGCAGCGGAGGATACTGATTCTACATAATACTAAGTTAGGGGAGTAACCAATACATATTTCAGTATTTTATGCTTAACCCTTTGACTGTTGCGGCCGTATATATACGTCTTACGAGGTACCGTGTTTGACGTATACATGTATATATACTCATAAATTCTAGCGGCTTCAAATCAAGCAGGAGAAAGCTGGTAGGCCCACATGTGAGAGAATGGGTCTGTGTGGTCAGTGTGCACCATATAAAAAAAATCCTGGAGCACGCAGTGCATAATGAGAAAAAAAAAACTTCGACCGTTTTTTTTAATTAAAATGCCGACTTTGTGGTCTATTTTCGTATAGTATTTATGGTTGTATTCTCGTTTTCTTGGTCTCATTTGATAGAATGGAAAACATATTACAGAAATAGAGGTGATTTTGATTGATTTTACTATAAAAAAAAACCTAGAAATGGAGCTCAAAGTTGGGGAAATGTTTGATTTTTGCCAATGTTCAAAAGTAAACAAATGATGCCATTGTCCAATAAATGTCCAACTAGCCATTCTAATATGCAGTCATGAATGGGTTGATGTTATTTATACAATTATTACAGTATTGCAGTAGTCTGCATAATAGTAAGTCTTCTATTTTTTGTTTGAATAAAAATTCAAAATAGAAAGCAAGAGTAATATTAGAGGGGCCTGGAGACATGACTGATGAGCAAAGAAAATGTTATTTTAGAGCCAGGAATGTCTGCATTGTTCATTCTGGACCTTATTTTGAAATTGTCATATTTTTTAGTTTTCGTGAAATTGGCCAAATTGCAAATTTCTGACCACATTATTAGGTAGTTGAAATCGGTAAATGGGCAGTTTCGTGTACTCAATCGATAGAAAAAATGGAGTTCTAAAGAAATAGCTATGAGTTTGGGCGACTGGAATAATGGAATTAGCTGAAAATAGGGCTCAAAGTGGGCGAAATCGCCGATTTGTAAACAGCGCCGAGGTCGCTAACTTCGCGAGAGCATAATTCCGTCAGTTTTCCATCAAATTTCGTTTTTTTGGTGTCATTACAATCGGGAAAAGATTCTCTATCATTTCATAAGAAAAAATATTTTTTTTTTTTTTAAATTTTGCGACACCAGGAGACACCTCAGGATTGGGGGTTGCGACAGTCAAAGGGTTAAAAACAATAATTTATGGTGAGCATTTTCATTATGTGTGATGAGCTTATATGCATGCATACATAGATGCCTACTGTATATATATAAATAAATAAATTAATAAATAAAATAATCAATAAATATTTTTTTAAGCACAATGGCCATCTCCCACCAAAGTAGGGCAACTTAAATAAAAAGAAAGACTTTCACCATCATTCTTTCACTCTCTTGCCCTTCGTGATCTGACATCACAGATCTGTTGTATGCATGTGTAAGCATACAACAACACATGCACACACTTGCATACAGATGCACACACATTTTAAATACATTGGACATTTCCCAACAAGGTAAGATGACCTGAAAAAGAAGAAACACATACACCATCATTCACTCCATCCCTATCTTGCCAGAACTGTGCTGGCAATATAACTCAGATGTTTCTCCAAATGCAGACACTGTACTTCCCACCTCCAGGACTCAAATCTGGCTAACCAGTTTCCCTGAATCCCTTCAAGAACGTTACCTTGCTCACTCTACAACAGCACATCAAGTCATTAAAACCATTTGACTCCACTCACTCTATAATATGCCTGTTGGATGTTTAAGCCTTTCTTGAATAGTGGATGATGCCACTGTATTATCAAACCCAAATAGACTGCAACACCCAGGGAGGTACTACCGTACTGCCAAGTGAGTGTAAAACGAAAGCCTGTAATTGTTATACATGATGGTAGGATTGCTGGTGTCTCTTTTCTGTCTCATAAACATGCAAGATTTCAGGTACATCTTGCTACTTCTACTTATACTTAGATCACACTACACATACATGTACACATTTATGTACACACACTCATCCAAGTTTTCTCTGATTTTATCTTAACAGTTCTTGTTCTTATTGCTTTTCCTTTTATATCCATGGAGAAGTGGAATAAGAATCTTTCCTCCGTAAGCCATGTGTGTTGTAAAAGTCAACTAAAATGCCGGGAACAATAGGCTAGTAACCCCTTTTCCTGTATAGCTTACTAAAAAGAAAAAGAAGAAAATCGTCAAAGTGGGATGTTTGAATGTGCGTGGATGATGTGCGAATGATAAGAAAGAGATGATTGTGAATGTTATGAGTGAGAAGAAGCTGGATGTCCTGGTTTTAAGTGAAACAAAGCAGAAGGGGGTGAGGGAGTTTCGGTGGGGAGTAATAAATGAGATTAGGTCAGGGGTTTCACATAGAGTTAGAGCTAAAGAAGGAGTAGCAATAATGTTGAAGGATAAGTTATGGCAGGAAAAGAGGGAATATAAATGTATTAATTCAAGGATTATGTGGAGTAAAATAAGGGTTGGATGTGAAAAATGGGTTATAGTAAGCATTTATGCACCTGGAGAAGAGAGAAGTGTAGAGGAGAGAGAGAGATTTTGGAAATGTTGAGTGGGTGCATGGGGAGTTTTGAACCAAGTGTGAGAGTGCTTGTGGTTGGGGATTTCAATGCTAAAGTGGATAAAAATATTGTGGAGGGAGTAGTAGGTAAATTTGGGGTGCCAGGGGTAAATGAAAATGGGAAGCCTTTATTTGAGCTATGTGTAGAAAGAGGTTTCGTAATAAGTAATACATATTTTATGAAAAAGAGGATAAATAAGTATACATGTACAAGGTATGATATACCAAGTAATGAAAGTAGTTTGTTAGATTATGTATTGGTGGATACAAGGTTGATGGGTAGGCTTCAGGATGTACATGTTTATAGAGGGGCAACTGATATTTGGGATTATTATTTAGTTGTAGCTACAGTTAGAGTAAGAGGTAGATGGGATGAATGGAAAATGGAAACAAGTAAGAGAGAGGTGAAAGTGTATAAAATAAGGGAGGAGGAAGTTAGGGGAGATATAAGCAACTATTGGCAGAAAGGTGGGCAAGTGCAAGTATGAGTAGTGGAGGGGCTGAAGAGGTTTGGAACAGTTTTAAAAATGAAGTACGTATTAGAATGTGAAACAGAATTTTGTGGTTATAGGAGGGTGGGTGCAGGAGGAAAGATGAGTGATTGGTGGAATGATGAAGTAAAGGGTGTGATAAAGATAAGCAGAGTATATGGAAATTAAAAGAAAGGTGAAGAGCGTGGTGAGAGAGTGCAAAAGGAGACCAGATGATAGAGTGGGAGAAGCACTGTCAAGAAATTTTGATGAAAGCAAGAAAAAATTTTGGAGTGAGATAAACAAGTTAAGAAAGCCTAGGGAACGAATAGATTTGTCAGTTAAAAACAGAGTAGGGGAGTTAGTAGATGGGGAGCTGGAGGTATTGGGTAGATGGCGGGTATATTTTGAGGAACTTTTAAATGTCGACGAAGAAAGGGAGGCGATCATTTCATGCAATGGCCAGGGAGGTATAACATCTTTTAGGAGTGAACAAGAGCAGGATGTGAGCATGGGGGAGGTGTTTGAGGTATTATGTAGAATAAAAGGGGGTAAAGCAGCAGGAACTGATGAGATCATGACAGAAATGGTAAAAGCAGGGGGGATATAGTGCTGGAGTGGCTGGTATTTTTGTTTAATAAATGTATAGAAAATGGGAAGGTACCCAGGGATTGGCAGAGAGCGTGTATAGTACCTTTATGTATAGGGAAGGGGGACAAAAGAGATTGAAAAAATTATATGGGAATAAGTTTACTGAGTATACCGGGAAAAGTGTATAGTAGGGTTACTATTGAAAGAATTAGAGGCAAGACATAGAGTAGGATTGCGGATGAGCAAGGAGGCTTTAGAGTGGGTAGGGGAAGTGAAGAGCAAGTGTTTACATTGAAGCAGATATGTGAACAGTATTTAGATAAAGGTAGGGAGGTTTTCACTGCATTTATGGATTTAGAAAAGACATAAGATAAGAGTCCTAGGTAGTAGGTTGGTAGACAGCAATCACCCAAGGAGGTGCTACCGTCCTGCCAAGTGAGTGTAAAACGAAAGCCTGTAATTGTTTTACATGATGGTAGGATTGCTGGTGTCCTTTTTTCTGTCTCATAAACATGCAAGATTTCAGGTATGTCTTGCTACTTCTACTTACACTTAGGTCACACTACATATACATGTACAAGCATATATATACTACACACACCTCTCTGGGTTTTCTGCTATTTTCTTCCTAGTTCTTGTTCTTGTTGATTTCCTCTTATCTCCATGGGGAAGTGGAGCAGAATTCTTCCTCCATAAGCCATGCATGTTGTAAGAGGCGACTAAAATGCTGGGAGCAATGGGCTAGTAACCCCTTCTCCTGTATAAATTACTAAATTTAAAAAGAGAAACTTTTGTTTTCCTTTTTAGGCCACCCTACCTTGGTGGGATACGGCCAATTTGTTGAAAGAAAAACGAATATGATAGAGTGGATAGGGGAGCAATGTGGCAGATGTTGCAAGTATATGGAATAGGTGGTAAGTTACTAAATGCTGTAAAGAGTTTTTATGAGGATAGTGAGGCTCAGGTTAGGGTGTGTAGAAGAGAGAGAGACTACTTCCCAGTAAAAGTAGGTCTTAGACAGGGATGTGTAATGTCACCATGGTTGTTTAATATATTTAAATATGGGGTTGTAAAAGAACTAAATGCTAGGGTGTTGGGGAAAGAGGTGGGATTAAATTATGGGGAATCAAATACAAAATGGGAGTTGACACAGTTACTTTTTGCTGATGATACTATGCTTATGGGTGATTCTAAAGAAAAGTTGCAAAGGTTAGTGGACGAGTTTGGGAGGGTACGTAAAGGTAGAAAGTTGAAAGTGAACGTAGATAAGAGTAAGGTGATGAGGGTATTAAATGATTTAGATAAAGAAAAATTGGACATCACATTGGAGAGAGGTAGTATGGAAGAAGTGAATGTTTACAGATATTTGGGAGTTGATGTGTCAGCAGATTGGTTTATGAAGGATGAGGTTAATCATAGAATTGATGAGGGAAAAAAGGTGAGTGGTGCGTTGAGGTATATGTGGAGACAAAAAAACGTTATCAATGGAGGCAAAGAAGGGAATGTATAAAAGTATAGTGGTACCAACACACTTACATGGGTGTGAAGCTTGGGTTGTAAATGCTACAGCGAGGAGGTGGTTGGAGGCAGTGGAGATGTCCTGTCTAAGGGCAATGTTTGGTGCAAATATTATGCAAATATGGTGCAAATATTATACTGAAAGCAGTGAAGAGTTTTTACGAGGATAGTGAGGCTCAAGTTAGAGTATGTAGGAAAGAGGGAAATTTTTTCCCAGTAAAAGTAGGCCTTAGACAAGGATGTGTGATGTCACCGTGGTTGTTTAATATAGTTATAGATGGGGTTGTAAGAGAAGTAAATGCGAGGGTCTTGGCAAGAGGTGTGGAGTTAAAAGATAAAGAATCACACACAAAGTGGGAGTTGTCACAGCTGCTCTTTGCTGATGACACTGTGCTCTTGGGAGATTCTGAAGAGAAGTTGCAGAGATTGGTGGATGAATTTGGTAGGGTGTGCAAAAGAAGAAAATTAAAGGTGAATACAGGAAAGAGTAAGGTTATGAGGATAACAAAAAGATTAGGTGATGAAAGATTGAATATCAGATTGGAGGGAGAGAGTATGGAGGAGGTGAATGTATTCAGATATTTGGGAGTGGACGTGTCAGCGGATGGGTCTATGAAAGATGAGGTGAATCATAGAATTGATGAGGGGAAAAGAGTGAGTGGTGCACTTAGGAGTCTGTGGAGACAAAGAACTTTGTCCTTGGAGGCAAGATGGGGAATGTATGAGAGTATAGTTTTACCAACGCTCTTATATGGGTGTGAAGCATGGGTGATGAATGTTGCAGCGAGGAGAAGGCTGGAGGCAGTGGAGATGTCATGTCTGAGGGCAATGTGTGGTGTGAATATAATGCAGAGAATTCATAGTTTGGAAGTTAGGAGGAGGTGCGGGATTACCAAAACTGTTGTGCAGAGGGCTGAGGAAGGGTTGTTGAGGTGATTCGGACATGTAGAGAGAATGGAGCGAAACAGAATGACTTCAAGAGTGTATCAGTCTGTAGTGGAAGGAAGGCGGGGTAGGGGTCGGCCTAGGAAAGGTTGGAGAGAGGGGGTAAAGGAGGTTTTGTGTGCGAGGGGCTTGGACTTCCAGCAGGCATGCGTGAGCGTGTTTGATAGGAGTGAATGGAGACAAATGGTTTTTAATACTTGACGTGCTGTTGGAGTGTGAGCAGGGTAACATTTATGAAGGGGTTCAGGGAAACCGGCAGGCCGGACTTGAGTCCTGGAGATGGGAAGTACAGTGCCTGCACTCTGAAGGAGGGGTGTTAATGTTGCAGTTTAAAAACTATAGTGTAAAGCACCCTTCTGGCAAGACAGTGATGGAGTGAATGATGGTGAAAGTTTTTCTTTTTCGGGCCACCCTGCCTTGGTGGGAATCGGCCAGTGTGATAATAAAAAATAATAATTCAGAGTGTGGAAATTAGGAGAAGGTGTGGAGTTAATAAAAATATTAGTCAGAGGGCTGAAGAGGGGTTGTTGAGGTGGTGTGGTCATTCAGAGAGAATGGATCAAAGTAGAATGACATGGAGAGTGTATAGATCTGTAGGGAAACGAAGGCAGGGTTGAGGTTGTCCTCAAAAAGGTTGGAGGGAGGGGGTAAAGGAGGTTTTGTGGGTGAGGGACTTGGACTTCCAGCAAGCGTGCGTGAGCGTGTTAGATAGGAGTGAATGGAGACGAATGGTTTTTGGGACCTGATGAGCTGTTGGAGTGTGAGCAGAGTAATATGTAGTGAAGGGATTCAGGGAAACCAGTTATTTTTATATAGCCGGACTTGAGTTCTGGAAATGGGAAGTACAATGCCTGCACTTTATGGAGGTGTTTGGGATATTGGCAGTTTGGAGGGGTGTGTAATAGGATGGTATTTAAATAAGTGGGGCCCTGATATTACATTCCATAGGGTGTTTATTATATTCAGGTCACTTTTTATATTGTATCTTTATATATACTTCTAAACTGTTGTATTTGGGCACAAGTGAGGTGAAAGTGTTGAATGATGATGAAAGTATTTTCTTTTTTTGGATTTTCTTTCTTTTTGGGTCACCCTGCCTAGATGGGAGATGGACAATTTGTAAAAAAAAAAAAAAAAAAAAAAAAAAAATTCTGCACACCATAAAGTTTTACTTACATAGCTTATTTCTTAATATTTTGCATAACATATCTGCTTCAATTTTGTCTTTCAACTGCATTATTAATTCACTTGCCATCACTTGTGAAGTTTCTTCACTTCTCATCATAAAATTAATCATCAAAAGATAATATATACTTCTATCTGGTTTTCAATATACCCATTCAGATTTTCCCTTCTATCACTGCATTCATCCATTCACTTTCTTTACAGTCATACCTTGAACATTATGATTTCAAATACAGCATAACATTTCACAATTGAAGAAAAAATAATAATAAATAATAAAGAAGGGAATGTATGAGAGTAGTGTATAGTGGTGCCAACACTCTTATGTGAGTTTGAAGCATGGATTGTAAATGTTGCAGTGAGAAGGAGGCTGGAGGCAGTAGAGATGTCGTGTCTAAGGGTAATGCGTGGTGTATGTAAATATTATGCAGAGAATTTGTAATGTGAAAATTAGGAGGAGGTGTAGTTACTAAAAGTATGATTCAGAGGCCTGAGGAGGAATTGTTGAGGTTGTTTGGTCATTTCGAGAGGATGGAGCAAAATAGGATGACCTGGGGGTGTATAAATCTTTAGTGGAAGGGAGGAGGGGTAGGGGGTAATCTTAGGAAAGGATGGAGGGAGGGGGTGAAAGAAGTTTTGTGTGCAAGGGGCTTGGACATACAGCAGGCATGTGTGAGCATGTTAGATAGGAGTGAATGGAGACAAATGGTTTCTGAGACCTGACGAGTTGATGAAGTGTGAGCAGGGTAATATTTTGTGAAGGGATTCGGGGAAACTGGGTAGCTGGACTTGAGTCCTGGAGGTGGGAAGTACAGTGCCTGCACTTTAAAGAAGATGGGGGGTTGGAATATTGACTGTTTGGAGGGACATCTAAACTGTCGTATCTGAGCACCTCTGCCAAGACAAGTGTTGTGTGTGAATGATGGTAAAAGTGTTTCTTTCATTTCTGGGTCACCCTGCCTCAGTAGGAATTGGCCGACATGTTGAAAAAGAAAAAGAAGAAAAAAAGGAGATAAAGTCAAAAATGGGAAACTAGTCAGTTCATGAGCTGTATTACATATTATTATTTTGCTATTTTTATTATTTTTCCATTTCTTATGTAAAGTATACAGAGTGCACCTCCTATCCTTTTTTTCTGTATAGGGAAAAATTACAGAAAATCAAACTACATGTACTCTGATACTCACCAGAAAATAGAGAGATCTGATGTTTCTATCAACATTTCATCTAAATAATCAACCATCTTTGTGTGGAAGACAATTTGATTAATAAGGGCTGCCAATTCTCGATTATTCTTGAGATTCAACCCAGCACGGTTAGCTGTTGCATATGCTTGAAGCCGAAACCAATCGAGACGGATGCCACGAAAGTCAAATGATGTACCTTCCTCTACTGAATATAAATGAGAAAGAGTGTGGGTAAAACAGCATTAGATTCAGGGAGTCAGTTAGTAGTTGGCACAGAACTCAAGATGAATGCAATTACTGTTATACAAAACACTAAAATCAGTGACAAAATAAAGTATCATGTCAATACAAAAAAAACCATATTAATTGTATTCACATGCAATCCATGGATCTGAAAAATTAATCACTGATGATACAGACAAGGTTTTTCACTTATAGAACAATCAGCATGGTGAATGAAGGCATAGGCTTATTCAAATGAAAAGGTAATTTTTGTTTTTTTTAACACACAGGCCATCTCCCACCGAGGCAGGATGACCTGAAAAAGAAATACATTCACCATCATTCACTATCAAAATCAAAACTTACTTCACCTAATAGGTTTGGCAAGTCTTAGTTTCATAATTTAATTAAGTTGCCTTTTTTTTCATGCAGTCACTCAAATTAAGTTAAGCATGCAACATGATTACCAAAAATTGTGTGAAACAGAGAATTTTTTTGGTGTAACAATTTATTTTATATTCATGTTAACCAGTGCTTAAAGTACGTAAAAAAAAATGAAAACAAAGGGAGGTTTTCTGGAGGGCATAGGGGAAAAAAAGGGGTGATAAAGGGTGATAAAGGGAAAGGTAGAAAGGAGTAAGAAGGCACAGGAGGGGGGGATTTTGTGGCCCCCCCAAATGGAATCAACAAAACAAGGGAAAAAAAATTTTTTAAATTTTTTCAAAAATTGGGTCCCCATCCCCGGCCCCCTTTTGGCCTTTTTTCCCCCGCCTAATCTGCCCGTCCGCCCCGCTGCTCTAGCCTGTCCTACCCCGCCCCCTGATTAGTTGCTCACATGCCCCCCCCCCTGAATCTTTTTGCCTGCCCCCTTGCCTTTCCTCCACTGCCCAGGAAAAACTTGTTTCGTTTTCCTTTTGTTTTGTTGTTCCGGCCTTTGGCCAGGGTTTTTTTGTTGTTTTGAAATTGGAATTTGTAGCCCTTTCCCTGAAAGGTTTTTAAAAAATTTTTTGGGAAAAAAAGGAAAGAAGGTTTGGTTGGTTTTATTTATTTTGGGGGAAAATTTTTTAAAAAAGGGGGGGGTTTTTTAAAAAAATAAGGGTTTTTGGGTTTTTTGGGGGGGAAAAAAAAAATTTTTTTTGTTTTTTAATTTTTTTAAAAATAGGGGTTTTTTTTGGAAAGATTTTATTTTAAGAACCTTTATAGTTTTGTTAGTTTTAAAGATAGTAAAAGGTTTTGGGTTTAGAAGTTATTTTAAATTTTTGGTTTAAAAATTTTTTTAAATCTACATGCCCCACCTCCCTACTGCAATATTTTTGCCTGCCCTCCTCCCTTTTTCCTTCCCCATCTGCCCGGGCCCTACCTTTTTTTCCGGGGTCTGCCCTCCCCTTTTCCCTTTCCTGCCCTGCCTTGCTTCCTTTGCCCCTGCGGGTTCCTGGCCGGGCCTGGCCTAGTCTTTCCTGTCCTGTCCTGCCCTGCCCTCCCCTACCACTCGGGGGCTAGCTGCCATTCCCTGCCCCCCCTGCTTCCTCTGCCCTGACTTGCCTGCCCTTTAACCCTTTTTCCTTTCCACTTTGCCCTGGCAAAAAAGCCAAGGAAAGATGGGCTTTGCTTTTGGGGTTCAATCCCTTTGGGAATTTTTAACTGACACCAATTTATTTTTCACTCAAAAAACCCCGGGTGTTTTTTTCAACAGCAAAAATACCCAAAGGGACGGGTTGGGTTTTTTCCCTAGTTCTTGGAATAATTTACCGAAAAAAACCCACTCCCTGAACTTTACATTTAAATTTAAATGATAGTTGTGAGAATGTTACATCTTCTGGAACAGATTAATATTTTAAAACCCCAAAAAACCCAACTTTACTATAAAAACCCTTTTAAGATTACTTGCTATTTTAAAACTGAATATGAAAATGGAAAATGGAAAAGTTTAGCAAGCTTCCATTTTAACACTTGTATGGTTTAAAGACCTAGATAGTGACTACACAAAACAGTGAAAAAATATGTTAACTGAGTTGCATTTTTTCATATACACACATACCATAACCAGAAATGTAGACAAGGAAAATAATAAGGTATTCTGTATCTAATTCCCATTATTTTTCAGTAAGCTACCGAATGTACATATATGTATACAGTACTGTATACAATGGTAGTGCATGCTGTACACAAAATACAGGGTGTCCACAAAAACACTCCCTGATTTCAAACAGGTATAACATGTAACTTTATTGTAGTAATCTTTCACAGTTAGTAGCTTCAGATGCAGGATTTCATTCAGTTTCATGTGGTGTAGGGTAGCATTAAAGGCACTCAATGTGTGCCCCTCTGGTTGCTTGGCAAACATCAGTGCAATAGTCCAGTTTGGTACAGGCACTCTGCAGCATATCTGGAGTTGTCATGCAAACTGTTTCAGCGATCAAAATTTTCAGCTCCTCCAGGGTTGCAGGTAGTGTTGGTACGTAAACTGTGCTCTTCACGTACCTCCAAAGAAAGAAGTCACTAACAGTTAGGTCCGGTGACCTCGCAAGCCACTTGCAGAGGTCACCGGACCTAATTGTTTGTGATTTTTTTTTCAAGGGTAGGTGAAAAGCACAGTTTACATACCACCACCACTACCTGCAACCCTGGAGGAGCTGAAAATTTTGATCACTGAAGCACTTTGCATGATAACTCCAGACATGATGCAGAGCGTCTGAACCAAACTGGGCTATCGCATCGATGTTTGCAGAGCAACCAGAGGGGCATACAATGAGTGCCTTTAATGCTATTTTATACCACATGAAACTGAATGAAATCCTGCATCTGAAGCTACTAACTGTGAAAGATTATTACAATAATGTTACATGTTATACCTGTTTGAAATCAGGGAGAGCTTTTGTGGATACCCTGTACAATACTGTATACAATGGCAGTGCATGATGAACACAAAATACAGTACTTTATATACTGGGAGGGCATGCTTTACACACACATTACAAAATACAGTATCATGGCATGCACTTGGCAAAAAAACCTAACAGGTGAAAAGAATTTATGGACACTACAAAATATTTTTGTTGAAAGAAATTTTTGCATATTGTCAGAAATTTTAAGATTAAACAAGGAATGGAAGGGAATAGTAAATATATAATGTGATCTGTATATATGTTTGCATGTACAGGGGTGCCCCACTTATGCAGCAGGTTAGGTTCCAGGCTACTGCTGTAAAGTGAATCAAAGCCTTTTTCACTTTCAAATGTATATAAAAGCCTAATATGATGTTTACACTTCCAAATATTAAGTAAGCAAAAGAGCTAACCCTAAATATGCCTATACAGTACACACATTCTTTTTTTTTTTTTTCAACAAGTCGGCCGTCTCCCACCGAGGCAGGGTGACCTAAAAAAGAAAGAAAATCCCCAAAAAGAAAATACTTTCATCATCATTCAACACTTTCACCACACTCACACATTATCACTGTTTTTGCAGAGGTGCTCAGAATACAACAGTTTAGAAGCATATACATATAAAGATACACAACATATCCCTCATATCGTCATTAGCTTATACTGTATTGAGTGAATATATTTATTGTAAGACGTCTGAATAAATGAAAAATGGGTATAATTAAACTGCTGTATTAACGAAGTGCTGTAAAGTGGGGCCTGCCTGTACTGTATTGATCTATTATATGACATGTTCATTGTGAAAATGAAAAGTGTGATTTGTGAGTCATAATGCATTTTATTTAACTAATAACAATTTCCTGTTTAGTGTGACATCTAAACTGCCATATTTGTGTGCCTCTGGCAAGACAGTGATAGTGTGAGTGATGGTGAAAGAGTTTCTTTTTTGAGTCCCCCTGCATCGGTGAGAGACAGCCGGAGTGTTAAAAAAAAAAAATGGAATTGGTGTAGAAAGAAAAAAAATACCTGAAACAGAAAAATTGAGCTTTACTATTAACACCCCAAAACCAAATGTACCAATACAGTACAGTACTATATTTCACAATGATAAACATCAAGTTAAATTTACTTATGGAAAGAGCTAATTTTGTTTTTGCATATCATGGGAAATTTTTATCAAAAACAATACTCTATGCCATAGATTTCACCTTGTTTGACTGATAAATTTCCAATTTCATTGCACATTGATGATAAAATGATTGATTCTTCCTCTGGTAGGTTTTGCAGTTCTTGTATCAACTGATTAAGGGCAATGGCATCATACCCACAAAGGTACTGTGTGTAATATCGTTGCAGCACCTGCAAAAAATATATAATATTCAGCAGAAATTTTTTAATCATATTTAATTTTGTTTTATGCATACAAATTTTATTAAATCTCATAAAATGATTCCAATAATCAAGTGACCTGTGAATACTTCTTGATCAGTGCTCGTATTTCCTCCATATGAAAAAGTAGTTCTGGCAACTGACGATCAACTAAATCATCTGCTGTTTTGCCTTTAACTTTATGCAGCGGTGGGTTCTCATGGTGACGTAGTAGCCACAATACCTAGATGCAAACAAAATATCTTTATATTACTATTGCAAAAGCATCTGTTTCACATATTACTGTTTGATTTTTATGGTTCATTTACGATTTTAAATACTTATGAGGATAAGAAAGTGAAGATGGCTTTCATCATAATATCTTTAAATCATTTAATGTATAATGCATGACTGTAAGCATTTCCTAACCTCATCTCTCGAAAAGCTTAGACCCATGAACACAAAGAGAGCTTTGGGACCCAAAAGCCCTGGTTGGTCAGTCAAAATGAGAGCCAATTCTTTCATGGCAGTGCGGAGATATTTACGTCTTTCACGATGCATGAGTGGCCTGTGGGTAAAAACAAAAAAGCAATGAAGGCATGTTCAGCAGAAATTATTGCATTACTAATATTACATAATAAAATAACACAATTTTTAACCAGCAAGTGAGAATGCCGGATTACAGAGTGGTTAGGTTAGAATACACTTAATAAAATTAACCAACTTGACTTATACAAGACAGTTCATTGAACATTGGCAAAAATCGAACATTTCTGCTGCTTTGAGCTTAATTTCAAGGTACTTTTTCTCATGAAACCAATCAAAATCATATCTATTTCTGTAATGTATCTTCTATTCTATCAAATGAGACCAAAAAAACGAGAATACAACCATAAAAACCATAAGAAAATATACCGTAAAGAGGCAGCTAATGACTGAGAAGTGAATTCTTTATTTATCGTCCAATATTTTTAATTTTTGGTGTACGTTAAGAAGCATCTTTCGATCATACACTGCCCAAGTTTCAATAAGATAGCCCAACAAACAACTGAGAAAAAAATACGTATTTACCAAAAATCATGCCCAAGCCAGGTACTCGAAATAAGTCACTTCGTCTGACTTTTTTGGGCTATCCTAGGTTCTCTATACATACGCTGCTATGTATGATAATCTATGTAACTGTATTTGTGTATACCTGAATAAACTTACTTACTTCTATTCTGTCGACTGAGTACAAAAAAACGCCCATTCACCTATTTCAGCAACCCAATAGTGGTCAGAAACTGGAAATTTGGCCAATTTCACATAAATTTCAACAGATGCCAATTTCAAAATAGTGTCCAGAATAAACAATGCAGACATTCCTGGCACTAAAATAACATTTTCTCTGTTCTTTAGTCATGGCTCCAAGCCCCTCTTATATTACTCTTGCTTACCATTTGGAATTTTTATTCACACAAAAAATAGAAAATTTACTGTTATGCAGACTACTGCATTATTGTAATAATTGTATAAATAATGCCAACTCATTCTTGACTGCATATTGGAATTTGGACTGGTAGGTGCACACGTATCAGACAGTGATGTTATTTGTTTACCTTTGAACATTGCTAAAGAATAGAACACTTATGCTAGTCTGAGCTCAATTTCAAGGTACTTTTCAGCTTGAAAGAAATCAAAATCATATCTATTTCTGTAATATATCTTCCATTCTATCAAATGAGACCAAAAAACCGAGAATACAGCCATAAAAACCATACAAAAATATACCGCTAAGAGGTGGCTAATGGCTGAGAGGTGAACTCCATTATTTATGGTCTGATTTCTTTCATTTTTGGTGTACATTAAGAAGCATCTTTCCATCATATATTGCCCAAGTTTAAATAAGATAGCCCAACAAACAACTGAGAAAAAATAATGATAATAATAAGTCTGTTGAGTGTACCTGGTAAAGTGTATGGTAGAGTTATAATTGAAAGAATTAAGAGTAAGACGGAGAATAGGATAGCAGATGAACAAGGAGGCTTTAGGAAAGGTAGGGGGTGTGTGGACCAGGTGTTTACAGTGAAACATATAAGTGAACAGTATTTAGATAAGGCTAAAGAGGTCTTTGTGGCATTTATGGATTTGGAAAAGGCGTATGACAGGGTGGATAGGGGGGCAATGTGGCAGATGTTGCAAGTGTATGGTGTGGGAGGTAGGTTACTGAAAGCAGTGAAGAGTTTTTACGAGGATAGTGAGGCTCAAGTTAGAGTATGTAGGAAAGAGGGAAATTTTTTCCCAGTAAAAGTAGGCCTTAGACAAGGATGTGTGATGTCACCGTGGTTGTTTAATATATTTATAGATGGGGTTGTAAGAGAAGTAAATGCGAGGGTCTTGGCAAGAGGCGTGGAGTTAAAAGATAAAGAATCACACACAAAGTGGGAGTTGTCACAGCTGTCTTTGCTGATGACACTGTGCTCTTGGGAGATTCTGAAGAGAAGCTGCAGAGATTGGTGGATGAATTTGGTAGGGTGTGCAAAAGAAGAAAATTAAAGGTGAATACAGGAAAGAGTAAGGTTATGAGGATAACAAAAAGATTAGGTGATGAAAGATTGAATATCAGATTGGAGGGAGAGAGTATGGAGGAGGTGAATGTATTCAGATATTTGGGAGTGGACGTGTCAGCGGATGGGTCTATGAAAGATGAGGTGAATCATAGAATTGATGAGGGAAAAAGAGTGAGTGGTGCACTTAGGAGTCTGTGGAGACAAAGAACTTTGTCCTTGGAGGCAAAGAGGGGAATGTATGAGAGTATAGTTTTACCAACGCTCTTATATGGGTGTGAAGCGTGGGTGATGAATGTTGCAGCGAGGAGAAGGCTGGAGGCAGTGGAGATGTCATGTCTGAGGGCAATGTGTGGTGTGAATATAATGCAGAGAATTCATAGTTTGGAAGTTAGGAGGAGGTGCGGGATTACCAAAACTGTTGTCCAGAGGGCTGAGGAAGGGTTGTTGAGGTGGTTCGGACATGTAGAGAGAATGGAGCGAAACAGAATGACTTCAAGAGTGTATCAGTCTGTAGTGGAAGGAAGGCGGGGTAGGGGTCGGCCTAGGAAGGGTTGGAGGGAGGGGGTAAAGGAGGTTTTGTGTGCGAGGGGCTTGGACTTCCAGCAGGCATGCGTGAGCGTGTTTGATAGGAGTGAATGGAGACAAATGGTTTTTAATACTTGACGTGCTGTTGGAGTGTGAGCAAAGTAACATTTATGAAGGGATTCAGGGAAACCGGCAGGCCGGACTTGAGTCCTGGAGATGGGAAGTACAGTGCCTGCACTCTGAAGGAGGGGTGTTAATGTTGCAGTTTAAAAACTGTAGTGTAAAGCACCCTTCTGGCAAGACAGTGATGGAGTGAATGATGGTGAAAGTTTTTCTTTTTCGGGCCACCCTGCCTTGGTGGGAATCGGCCAGTGTGATAATAAAAAAAAAAAATAATGATAATAATAAAAATAATAATAATAATAATAATAATGATAATAATAATATCTTTATTTATTACAAGTTCGGGTGAGATATAAGCGACTATTGGCAGAAAGGTGGGCTAGTGCAAAGATGAGTAGTGGGGGGGTTGAAGAGGGTTGGAATAGTTTTAAAAATGCAGTATTAGAATGTGGGGCAGAAGTTTGTGGTTATAGGAGGGTGGGGGCAGGAGGAAAGAGGAGTGATTGGTGGAATGATGAAGTAAAGGGTGTGATAAAAGAGAAAAAGGTAGCTTATGAGAGGTTTTTACAAAGCAGAAGTGTTATAAGAAGAGCAGAGTATATGGAGAGTAAAAGAAAGGTAAAGAGAGTGGTGAGAGAGTGCAAAAGGAGAGCAGATGATAGAGTGGGAGAGGCACTGTCAAGAAATTTTAATGAAAATAAGAAAAAATTTTGGAGTGAGCTAAACAAGTTAAGAAAGCCTAGGGAAAATATGGATTTGTCAGTTAAAAACAGAGTAGGGGAGTTAGTAGATGGGGAGATGGAGGTATTGGGTAGATGGCGAGAATATTTGAGGAACTTTTAAATGTTAAGGAAGAAACAGAGGCAGTAATTTCATGCACTGGTCAGGGAGGTATACCATCTTTTAGGAGTGAAGAAGAGCAGAATGTAAGTGTGGGTGAGGTACGTGAGGCATTACGTAAAATGAAAGGGGGTAAAGCAGCTGGAACTGATGGGATCATGACAGAAATGTTAAAAGCAGGGGGGGATATAGTGTTGGAGTGGTTGGTACTTTTGTTTAATAAATGTATGAAAGAGGGGAAGGTACCTAGGATTGGCAGAGAGCATGTATAGTCCCTTTATATAAAGGGAAAGGGGACAAAAGAGACTGTAAAAATTATAGAGGAATAAGCTTACTGAGTATACCAGGAAAAGTGTACGGTAGGGTTATAATTGAAAGAATTAGAGGTAAGACAGAATGTAGGATTGCGGATGAGCAAGGAGGTTTTAGAGTGGGTAGGGGATGTGTAGATCAGGTGTGTACATTGAAGCATATATGTGAACAGTATTTAGATAAAGATAGGGAAGTTTTTATTGCATTTATGGATTTAGAAAAGGCATATGATAGAGTGGATAGAGGAGCAATGTGGCAGATGTTGCAAGTATATGGAATAGGTGGTGAGTTGTTAAATGCTGTAAAGAGTTTTTATGAGGATAGTGAGGCTCAGGTTAGGGTGTGTAGAAGAGAGGGAGACTACTTCCCGGTAAAAGTAGGTCTTAGACAGGGATGTGTAATGTCACCATGGTTGTTTAATATATTTATAGATGGGGTTGTAAAGGAAGTAAATGCTAGGGTGTTTGGTAGAGGGGTGGGATTAAATTATGGGGAATCAAATTCAAAATGGGAATTGACACAGTTACTTTTTGCTGATGATACGGTGCTTATGGGAGATTCTAAAGAAAAATTGCAAAGGTTAGTGGATGAGTTTGGGAATGTGTGTAAAGGTAGAAAGTTGAAAGTGAACATAGAAAAGAGTAAGGTGATGAGGGTGTCAAATGATTTAGATAAAGAAAAATTGGATATCAAATTGGGGAGGAGGAGTATGGAAGAAGTGAATGTTTTCAGATACTTGGGAGTTGACGTGTCGGCGGATGGATTTATGAAGGATGAGGTTAATCATAGAATTGATGAGGGAAAAAAGGTGAGTGGTGCGTTGAGGTATATGTGGAGTCAAAAAACGTTATCTATGGAGGCAAAGAAGGGAATGTATGAAAGTATAGTAGTACCAACACTCTTATATGGGTGTGAAGCTTGGGTGGTAAATGCAGCAGCGAGGAGACGGTTGGAGGCAGTGGAGATGTCCTGTTTAAGGGCAATGTGTGGTGTAAATATTATGCAGAAAATTCGGAGTGTGGAAATTAGGAGAAGGTGTGGAGTTAATAAAAGTATTAGTTAGAGGGCAGAAGAGGGGTTGTTGAGGTGGTTTGGTCATTTAGAGAGAATGGATCAAAGTAGAATGACATGGAAAGCATATAAATCTATAGGGGAAGGAAGGCGGGGTAGGGGTCGTCCTCGAAAGGGTTGGAGAGAGGGGTAAAGGAGGTTTTGTGGG